AAAAAAAAAAAAAAAAAGGAAAAGGATTTACAAATTCGAAAAAAAAAAAAAAAAATTGTTGTTGTTGTCGTCGTCCAAAAAAAAAAAAAAAAAGCCGCGATGGCAAGGCGGCTCGGAGGGATGCGAAGAGGAGAGCTGCGGGGGGAGGAGGCGGGGTGCTGAGCGCTCCGCTCGCCCCGCTGCTGCTGCCGCTGCTGCTGCTGCTTTGTGTGTGTGTCCTGGATTCGGCTTTTTTTTCTCTTTTTTTTTTCCTTCTTCTTTTTTTTTTTTTTTTTTTTTTTTTTTTTGAGAAGGACCTTGTGGCAGCCGCGCCGAGGAGAGGAAGAGGAGGAGTAGGGGGGGAAGCCTTTTTAATTCATTTTCGACCCAAATTCTGCATTTCGAGCCTCTGCAGGCAGCCGGACTCGTGGTGGCGGCGGCGGTGTTGTTGTGGGTGGTGGTTGTGCGTGGGGTGTCCCCCCCACCCTCCCCGGCGGAGCGGGGAGCGGAGCCGCGGGGATCCCGCCGGGGCAGCCCCGTCCCCGCGCGGGGGGACGGCGGAGCTGTTGTTGTTTTGTAATAGGATTGTCTGGGTCGCGCCCCCCCCCTTCCCCTCCCTCCGCGGCCCTCCCAGTTTTTGTGTCTCTGTGTGTGTGCGTGTGTGCGGTGTTTGAAAATGGAGGTTGAAGATGCCGACTGCCAGCCCCGATGTGCCTCGTGTTTGCGGCTCCTGTGCACGATGTACCACCGCAGCCAGCGCTGAGGGGAGACGGCGGCGCCCCCCGCCCGCCGCCCCGAGCCCGCCCCGCCGCCCCGGAGACAGCGTCGCCCCGGGGCTTCCATGCCTTGTTGTTGCCGTTAATACATCGTGAATATCTGTGTATTTTTGGTGTGCTTGCTCCGGAAGATCAACACCCAGGGACCTCAACAACCCTCCGGTTTGCCGCTCCGAAGGGTCGTGGTTTTTTTTTTTTTTTTTCCTTTTTTTTTTTCCCTTCATTTCTTGAGGCAACGTGGATTTATTTACCCTGCCCCGCTGCTCCTCCGCCGCTCGTTATTTTTAGAGGACGGGGAGAGGAAAGAAAGCGAACAATTTTGGACTTCTTTTTGCTTTGTTTTGTTTTCGGAAAGGGGGATTTTGTCCAATTAAAGAAAGAGGAATGAAGTCTGGCGCTGGAGGAGGGTCCCTCGCCGTCGTCTGGGGGTTCCTGCTCGTTTTCGCCGCACTTTGTCTGTGGCCAACAAATGGGGAAAGTGAGTACAGTGCGTGCCCGGGGGTGCTGCGGGGGACCCCGCGGTGAGGGAGCCCCCGAGTCAGGCTGCCGGGGAGGGGGCGAGGGCGGCGGCTGCCTGTGCGTGTTTGGGGGGGCGTGAGGGGTACCGGTGTTTGTGTGTGGGGGGCTCCCTTGTGTGTGTGCGTGTCCCTGTGTGAACGTGTGTGTGTGTATGTGGGTGTTGCGCGTGTATGTGAGGGGGGGGTCCCTGTATGAATGTGTGTGAGTGGGCTGGTGATGGGGGGGGCTCCCTGCGTGTGTGGGGATGCGTGAGGGGCTCCCTGTGTTTGGGTGTGTGCGTGAGGGGCTCCCTGTGTGTGTGTGTGTGTGTGTGAGAGGGGGCTGCCGAAGGGGTTCCCCGTGTGTGCGAGGGGGTTCCCTGTGCGAGGGGCTCCCTCGCCGTGTGTGTGCGTGAGGGGCTTCCCTGCGTGTCTGGGCTGTGTGCGAGGGGCTCCCTGTCCTTGTGGGGGTCCCTGTTGGCCCCGGGGCCCGTGTGAGGGCTCCCTGCCCGCGGCTGTGAGGGGCGCTCCCGCCGTTTCCCGCCGCGGCGCCGAGCGGGTCTCGCCCCTGCCCGCGGGGCTCTGCGTGTTTTCCTCCTGTTACGCGTCTGCTCCTCCAGCACGTTTAACAACCCGGGGCTGCGCGTCTCCCTCCCTGCCATGCCCGCCTTCCTCCCCGGGCCTGGCTGTACACACGGGTCGGCAGCGCCGCAGCCCCGAGCCCGGCGGAGGGGGCCGTGCCCCTCCTTTGTGTCCCCCCCGAGCGCGGGGCAGCGCTCAGGCGCCGCAGCCAGGGCTGCGAGCTGCGTAGTAAACACTCGCGGGCTGGGGAGGACTCCGCTCGCTTTCCCCCTCATGGAAGGAGCTTGATCTCTGTCAATATTTAGAGGCTGTATGCAGGAACCTGCTGTAGTGAGTGAGGAATTCCTGGAAATGAACGCCTTGCCTTTTACCGCCGAGGAGGGGTTTCACTCGCTGTGTGCGGAATTACGGCGGCATCCCGCAATCTAAAGGTCACGGGCTGCCGTTAATTTTAAAAAGGGAATTAATTCGCACATTGACGTTTGTGCGTAAATAGAAAGGTTTGATGGCGGAACGGGCTGCGATCTTAGGGGGATGCATTTTTCCAAGCGGCCGTGTTGCAGCCAGCGCCGAGGTTGGAGCAGCGTGCGAGCCGCTTCCCCGGGAGCACCGGGAGAACGTGGATCGGCTCCCTCCTGCCGCGGAGCCTCTGCCCATCCCCGCGCCCGCCCGCCTCGCTCGGGAGCTGCCAGAGCCCCGACTTTGTTTTTGTGCGTTCCCAACCTGTGATTGTGTTGCAGTGCCCGCCCCTCTCGGGCGCAGGGGGAATCGAGGGGGCAGGGAGGGCTGCGCTGCCATTGATTACACTGCAATCATCGCCGGATTAATCCCGGGGCTGATCGGTTTTCTCCTGGTATGTCGGGCTCACGCTGGATTGAGGATCTCTTGCATGAAATTAGCCTTGCCTTTTTTTCCTGGAGTATTTCTGTATACGGGGAGATGGTAAATGTGCCTTGGAGCCCAACCATTTTAAACAGTGCTCCCTCTCCTTCAGCGTCTGCAGAAACAGGGATGTTCCTGTACTGCATCCTGATGCTTTAATTTCTTCTGCCGTGTGTTTTTCAATACACTCCTGGAGCTGTTGTGTGCCTCTCCCTTTTAGAAAGATATGCGCTGTTGGAGGGAAGGAACGAGGAGATCAGATTTCTCCATTTTAAATGTAAAGGGAAGGAATTTAGGAGGCAGGAGGGCTTTTCTACAAGTAGTGGTTTCAGATTGAAAAGAAAGGGAAGTTCTTTGGATGCACTGGCAGTGAGGCCAAGTACACAAAAAAAGATAAGTGAGCAAGAAGCACATAGACGGAGCCTGTAATGCATGTTGAGTAATAATTATGTTTCGTTAGGCAGTAAATGCCTGTTAACTCCTTGCAAATTAAGGCCCAGTCTAGGCTTTTGGGCCAGCTAGGGCTGGAGAGCTGCAGTCTTACTTCCATGAGTTGAACTTTTTGGCTAGAGCTGTTTTCAAGAAGGGAGATTAATCTTTAAGTTCAAAACCAAAACCCCCGTGCCCTTCTTCAGGGAAGGGCTTACAAAGGATCCAGTAGCGTGGAGAAACAGAACAGGAGGAGGAGGAGATTTGATGCATCCTTAAACTGCTAGGATACACACTTAGAATTGTTTTCCTTGTCTTACCTGGTACAAAGTACCTTGAAATAAAAATGCTCACCCAACAATGAAGTAACGCAGGAAGAGTATGTCAGGATTTTAGGTTCTAGTCCTCTGAAGTGTTTGTGGTTACCACTTACCTAAAATGAACATCCCAAATGAAATATCTTCTGAAGAAGATCCAGGCATTTAAATACGGGAAGATATGCTGAAAAACTTGTCTTAGCTGAATACTGCCTCTAATCGATTGCCTTTGTAGTTTACAGTTTAATAGCCTTTGTTTTCACGAGTTATTGCTGAAAGAATTTTGCTGTTAGGGGGAAAAATGATCTCCAGAGCAGATGTTTTACATCTCTTCATATTCTTCTCTCTCCCCATAATAGTGGAAGGAAGATTAATCTTAATTTTTATTTGTTTTTCATATATACTGTGTCATAGCTAAAAGGCACTTCCATTTTCGGTCAAACAAGCAAGGCATTCCTAAATAGGAATACAAAGGAGTTACAACTGGAGGGGAGAGACCCATCCCTTTAATGCTAAATTATATAAAATGTGTGTGTAGTTATGTGACAGAAACCTCTTTAAAATGCAGGTAACTTCAGTGGAAAGCTTCTGATTCAGAAAAAGTACTTTAAAAATGCTGAGAATTCCCTGAGATAGTTGTTAGAACGGCACATAAATGGAAATGAGAAGACCTTTCATTAAGCTAGAGTTTGGGATGTTATACCTATGCATTTGATGCATAAAGCTACAACTATTGGAGGCTGTTTGATGCTGGGGGTGTGTTTAGGATGAGGCATAAACACGATGTTTTCTTCCTTTTCTCCCTTGAGCACGATGGGGATTTTGATTTTCAGCTTTCTGTGTATTTACAGAGGGAATGTCTAGGAGGGAATGGGTTAAACACTTAGAAGGAAAATAATAGTTTTAGGTGTGATAGTACTTCAGATTGATGGATATCTTGATGGGTCTGCTCATGTTAGCGCAGGGCTTTTGTTTGTCTATCCAGGCTGGATGTTGTGTTTCTGATAATGAACAGTAGCTCATGCTGATGCTTAATCTCTCTCCCAGGTTGCTTAGTAAAGCCCTCATGACCTGCTGAGTGTCAGCGTTACACACACCTCGCTTTTGCATCAGCATTTTCCTGTACACCCAGTGGTTAGGGAACGTTGGTAACTGGGAGCTGGATAATTCCTGCTGGAATTGAGGTTGTGAATAGACAATGCCAGAGCCAGTGAGGAGCTGGCATCAGGGAGTTCAGCAGAAAGGGGAGCGGAGGGAGGTGTGCAGAGAGTGATGGTGCCCGGAGTCCGGGGCAAGGAGAGTGAGCCTGGCAGTCCTTGGACCTTTTCTTGATTGTGTTGGGTTGGACTTCAGGTTTGCAAACCAGAACTGGAGCAAAGGCTCGTGTGAGTCAGAAACTGAGAGGGTTAGGAAATGGAAGGGACTTAGCTAATATCAGGCAAAATGTGTTGAACGTGGGGAAGCAGAGGGATGGGTGTGGAAAAAGGGTGTGTTGGAAGTTTCAGTGTTGAACCAACATTTGAGGGAGAAACACTGGGGGGTTTTGTGTGTGTAAAGTGAAGAAAATTTAACTTAGTTCTTATGCTCTAAGAAGTGAGGGAAGGAAAGGGCTGCCGAGAGCAAGAAGACAGATCAATTAGATTGACTTCAGCACAACAGAAGACATGATTTATTTAGTTTAATAGGGAAATTGCTCAGATACGATCAACTACTGTGTTAATTTTTGTGTCAGCTTTTCCCTGATGTGTTTTTCCTCCAAACTAATTCTAGGGTATAGTTAAAGCACATGCCAGTGATGCTGAAATTGTTTTCATCTTGAAAGATACACACAAAATCTAATGTTAAAGAGCATCCACATGATGGTTTTTTAATCTGTCTTCATTTGTAAATAATTAATTTCTATCAGTATGTGTTACTATGCGAAAAGTTGTTTCAAATCCTGTTTAATTTTCTGCTAAACTGGCATGTACTAAGGAGATCTTGGAGGAGAATTTTTTTTTAAGCATCTAACATTTAAAATTAAAATCCATTTCAGGGCTGAAACTATTAGCTTTAAAGGATAATTTCAGTTCATGTTTAACTAATGCCTTTTCTCTTCCCCAGTAATTTTTGTTTTCTTTTTACTCTGAGGTAGATTTTACCAGTGATCACTGGAATGATTATCTCAGTGAGAGTAGAAGAGGCAGTTTTGTTAAATGATTAATTATATTGTGTATATTCCATCTGTGTGAATTGTGAGCTACCGCAAACTTAATTGTAGAGAAGTTTGTTTATGGTCCTGAACTTTGAGAGAGAGAGAGAGAGGCAATAACACATGCAGAAAACCTGTTTTTCTCACACTGGATGTTAACTTTGTGATCCCACACAGCAAACAACTTATCTAGCTCATCATCTGTAATGGCTCTAAAGCTCATAACTTACAAAATGTGCTGAATTCAATTATTTTTAAGAAGTTAGTATATTTATCTGAATTATCTGTAGTTAAGTTAATGAACTTCATGAGCATTATTGTACTTGAAAAGCTGAAAAAATTCCTGGAACTTTGGTTTATGAAATTAAATACATTCTTACTTGGATCTCAGTTTAAAGCTTTCACATTTGGAAATGCTTTCGGATGTTATCAAGTAGCAGCTGTTTTTTATTTGTGTGTGAGTGCCTGCATAGGAATGGGTAAACTGCAGTTTATTATTGAAAACCACTGTGGATGCTAAATTTTAGAAAAAAACTACAGTTTAGGTATTTGTCTCGGGAGTCTCATAATTAAAATTGTT